GTCAAATTTTAAAAAAATTATTTATTTATGGAATGTAGAACTCTCCGAATCAACTGTTCAGAAGTTGACAAGCTTATTGATATCACTTCATATATGAGTTGTTCTACAATGTAACTATTTCAGAATTTTATGTATTTATTTTAAACCTGAAAGATTACTATTTAAGATAATAGAAAACAAGTTTTTTATTAACTTATTGCTGATTATGTAAAATTCTTTGTGCATTTTATTGATGAAAAATTTAACATATTTTAATATACAAAAAAAATTATTCAAAAAAATTAAAGTTATAATTATATATTGTATAAACAATTATTAGAACTAATTTTTCAAAAAAAGAAAATGAAAAATATGATTATTGAATAAGAATCTAAAAGAACATATTATTTATATATAACTGACACTATCTACTTATTTCTGTTGACTTATCAATGACTTTTATAATTTATTATAGACAATTTATCACTTACTTTTTTTGAAAAAATTTCTTTATTTTAAATTATGTGTAAGTTATTAAGCTTGTTTAAAATAACTGTATTAAAGAAAATTTCTTATGAAGTATATCACCAAGATTTTTTAAATTTCCTTACTATTGTGTTTGAATTTTTAACTTGTTGAAGAGTATAGGTTTTTATTTTACTTATTAACATCATGAAGCAATCAATATTGATTACTTTTAACTGAGAACATACTTGTCTGTTTTTATTAAATATGTGCTTATAAGTAACTCTGCATATATGTAATCAATTAAAATAGGTAAGAATAATTATAAACTATTGAACTTTTAAGATGCAAACTAAACAGAATAGATAGGTATTAAGTCTATATAATTTGAATATGGAAGAAGAAAACAAATTTTTGAAAAATGATATTAGAATTTGCACAGAGTTTATTTGAAAATACATTATTTTCAAATAAACTAATTAAAAATACAATACAAAGAATATATCAGGTAACCAANATATATACAAACATTTAATTTCTGTGTAATTAATTTTGTAATACTTAAGTTTCCAGAGCTTTTGCATTTGCCAGATATTAAGTTTTTTATGTATATTGAATTTTTCCACTGCAAGAGCTATTATTTTGTTTTATTTTATTAAAAATATATTTGTTTTGATGGTCATCTTTTAATTTATTGAAATAATTTAATGAACTTTTATAAAATAACTTCTTTAATGTTCATTCTGAAAAAATGGAGGAAGAAATTATCATTCTAATGTGTGGATACTAAGAAAAATGTTTTAAAAATATTTCTATATTCTCTCTGAATTCAACTTTATCACATAATAGATTGTTAATCTATGATGCAAGTGATTCTATTACAATAATGAATAGTTGATTTTGTTTCAAGCTATAAGTTATTTTTCTGATATAAACCCATTATCATATAATGTGAGACTGAGTTTTACTTTTGAAACGAATACTGAACTATAAATGTAATTATTATTAATGTGACCAGAATTATGCAGTGATACATATGAAAATATGTGAATTATGCATTTTTGTTTTTTACTTAAATTTTTCAACATTTTGAGAAATGACTAATATAATCAAAATTTACTTTTATTTCCTTTTAATATATACACATAATGTGACCAAAGATTGTTGTTTTTATTTTTCTAAAGTGTAGTTTGTGTTAAAAACTTGTCTATCCTGGCCACTTTCCTCATACATAGGATGTTATTGATTCAGCATATTGAAATCAACTATAAATGTATTTCTAGTTTTGTTTTATCAGGAAACTTCTGTCTCATTGAAAATTCTTCTTAAAATATGATAAATTATCTGAACATGTTTTTTACTAGGATATATTCATAATGCTGTAATTGCAAGGGTATTTAAGTGTGAGGCATATTTCTAGATCTCAAACTCAGAAGTGTGTAGCATTTTTGCTGTTCATAAATTTCTTTCCTGATTTTTGGACAAGATAGCTCTATCATAAGCAATTCTAATATGTGGAATTTCCTGCTATGCAAAACCGTTTAACTTAAGGTAGTTCTGTAAATTAGTAATAAAACACACCTTTAATAACCCAGCTAATAAAAATTAATAATATAATAACGTTTTCGATCGTTTCTTAACGATCTTCTTCAGTTACCATAGCATAGAATAAAATTGGAAAACCAGATTCCGAGCCACAAAAGAGGTAAAAAGCAATGAATCGAACACACGGCGATTTCGAAACATCATAGAGAATTCGAGACATTGGTTACAACAGAACAACATAGTCCTAATGAAAGCCGATAAATCGAAAGGAGTGATATTGCTAAAACAATCGACCTACAACGAGAAATTACGTGAGTATATTGCAAGCACTTAATGTCAACCAGCACCCATCCATTTTTTAGAAACCCTGCAGCAAAGGGTTAAAAGGTTCACGTCCACTCCTTTAGCACGACTCTTACATATGCAAAACTCCACCGTCTGTGCGCCAAGAGCACCGAGAATATTTCCTTTCGCCAAAACACACAAACCAGGATACCAAATACGCCCTGTAATAGAGAAATGTAACTCTCCAACTTTCTTAATCGAAAAACAACTGGTCAAATTCTTCCAATCTAAAGCTCAGCGCCATCCACTCTTGATTAACAACTCTCTACAACTAATAGAAGATCTCAAAAACATTTCTCTAATGGACGATGAATATATGACAGTCTTGGACTTTAAGTCGATGTATCCATCGATAAAATTGTCTCCTTGCTTCTGCGCACTAAGAGATTTTTTATTTGCCAATGTTGAAAATGCGACACATCATCACAATCAAATACTAGAGCTTGCACACCTAGTGTGTTATACATCGTTTTTCGAGTTTGAGAACGAGTTATATTTGCAGGGAAGAGGCGTACCTATGGGTAGTCCCACATCGGCGATTCTATGTGAGTTGGTCTTACAGCAACTCGAAAACAAAATTCTACCCGAATTTCAACACCTTATCATTTTGTACGCCAGATACGTCAATGATATATTCATCTTGTGGCAATGAAAACCTGACTTACAGCAATTTTTGGATAGGATCAATAATAATCCTTATGGTTTATTACTACAAGTGGACCAGGAGAGTGATAGTATTGTAAATTTTTTGGGCATTTCCATCGCTTGCACACAGGGAGAAATCAGGACCGGCATATACAGAAAACCATGCTTTCAACCCACTTTAATTCCGCATAATTCAATCGATCCACATCACATTAAATTGGCGGCCTTTAGGTCCTGGATAAAAAGGGCTTATACACATTGTTCTAGTATAAAAGACACGATGGCGGAGCTAAACTACATTCTAAAGATTGCGGAACAACACGGATACCAAAAGGAAATCATAAAGAATCTTATTACAACCTTCCAAACAACTAAACAACGGCATCCCACAGGAGACCGTAGACAAAAGATGGTTTTAAATTATGTCCCGTTTTTGAGACAAATACATAAAGAAACGGCCANGCATACCATGCGCCAATTTTTTGATAGACGAGTTCACATGCGCAGTGGCGTACCGTGAGTGTTAGCAGCCCGGGGTGGAGAAAAATTTCGGCCACCCCTTATTTAGGTATTTCAATTTATAAGACAAAAATTCAGATTTGCCACAGAACAAGCAATGAAAAATGTGGTTGTAGTGTAGCTACCTGTATAAAATAGTTCTATATGACATTAGTGGTGTACATGAACACGAATGCATCGTGTAACGTACAAGCAAAAAGAAAAAAAAAAAAGGTCAACAGGTCGATTGCACCAAATTGTGTAAGAAATTGTAAAAAATTAATTTCCTATGTAATAGTCATAATTGCAATGAAGCCAAATCTGGCAATGTTGCTCGGAACCGACTGAAGCGCCACTTGTAGTCATCCAATGCGCCAAGTTTGGTGCATGGGCCACGTTTTGGCCACCCCTGATTTAAATAATAGTTAGGGGTATCCCTAATGGCTGTTTTTGGCACACCATGACAGAGATTGTCCAGTTTTCCAGTTTTATATAGTAAATAAGTTTCTGTTAATAATAGAAATACAAGCAACTGTGGCAATTGAGATAACTGAAAGAGAAAGTTTATTGAAAAAGAAATGTTTTGGTTTAAATTTAGCTATCTTCAGTTTTGAATTTATAAGTTCTGTAAATTGTTTGGGATCTGCATTTAGTGGATACATTACAATTACATGCACATTACAACTTATATGCATCCTGAAATTATGGTATAGATCTGAAAAAATATAAAATATTTAGAATAAATTGATATATAAATTTAAATTTCACAATAATGACACAAGGAAACAGTGTTCTGGTCATTTTTCTTTCCACAACAGTGCAAGCAGGGAGAGAGAATTTTTGGTTTTTAAACAGTCATTTTTATTCAATTTCATTTAGAATATTTTATCAAATCAATATTTAATAATGAAATCAAGTTAATTAAATATATGTGCAAAATTTTAAAAAATATGTATTATTATAAATTCTATGCAAAAATATGTGATTCATGAAAAATTATGCAAAGTGTGATTTTTTTATTAGCTTCTATTAATTGTAGTTTTTCAATAACAATAAATTTATAAATTTTTTTTACATGACAAGGTATGATATTAAGGATATAAATAACATCTTACAAAACAGTATTTAAAGATGTTTATTCCAATATTGGTGATTGTTTCATAAGAAATCACTTAAATAGTATAGAAGTAAATAATAATTTTTGGGTGTATGTTTGAATTAGAAATATGCAATGAATTTGTACAACATTTTCTAGTTTGATTTAAAAAATAAGTTTCGGAATTTTGAATTGTTTTAGAAAATGAACTTTCTAGTTTATAGATATTCATGAATTTATGTAAAACATAGACATCACTGTTTTTTATTAATTTTTCAAAATTTCAATTAATTTATTTTATGTAATATGGTTATTTTTATTATTAAAAATTTATATTTTAATTTTATTTAATAATTAAAATTTTAGAAAAAAAACAGGATTTTTGTTATTTTATTATATTAAGATTAATTGTGGTGTCTATGCACAGGAGAGGGAAAGGAAACGGGAGGAAATCCTCTACGAGAAACGTTTGAATAAAGAAAAAAAACTGGTGAGCTACTAATTATGAAAAATTACATTTAAAGAATTATTTTAGTCAAAGGCTTTTTGTCTAAAAGACCTCTTTGTTATGTGAAAAATGTTAACTTAGTATAACATCTTTCTTTATTCAAAAGTATTATTTATATTGAGGTTATATACTTAAAATAATTAAGGGAATAATAATGAACTTATATTTATTTCCTATATACTTTATTAAGTTACAAGAGATAATACTGTAAATATATGTTTTTACTACCAATTTATATTTACAGTTTTATCTGTGCATTTTTATATAATAAAAATTTGTTTCTTCAAAATCTGTTAAAATAAAAACTAAGATATAAAAGACAGATTCTAGAGTCAAAAATAAGCTTAAAAGTCATCTATAAATATTTTTTAAATTTTTCATTGTTTTCGAGATCTGGCTTGCCAAAAAAATTAGTTGTGTGTTCATGTTCTTTGAAGACATTTTGAACAGTTCTTGTAAGTTTTCTGTTTAAGTTTGTAAAAATGTGAAATGTTATTCAAAGTAAATTTACAATGAACTCTTGCTTTTTAACTTTTTTTAGTGTGGAACAGATGGTTAATGCAAAATTTTAAAGTGGATGAAGTTCTATTTACATTTATTATGGTAGGGCCTACTTGGGCAGCATTTAATTACTTCAGTCAGAGACAGAAGTATAGGAAAAATAATCTACAAAATTACTTTAAAAAGTTGATAACTCTAGTGTTAGTATTTTGGCAGGAATGTGAAAAGTTTTCTTTTTTTGAAAAATATTTATAAAGGATTTTAAGCTTGTTTTTGACATTAGAATCTATTCCTGAAATATTGGCATGGAGTTTCATTACATCCAGTTTATGAATTTCAGAGAGAGTGATTTTTTAAAGACTTAATATTTTAGTACCATTATTTGATGATGTATTGTTTATTATATATTTTTAATATTTAATTAGCCATTAAAAACAATAAATTTATCTACTTTTGCAATGTGAAATTCATTTTGTTTTGTTTCAAATTATATTAATAATAAATAAATTTCATATTAGACCAGTCAAAAGGCCTGATGCAGGCATTGGGGCATAGTAAATAGTTAGCATGCATAGCAATGATAAATAATTAATTACAAATGGTTTACCTAAAGTTCAGAGACATTTGGGAGAACACTGTTGAAAGTGAACTGCCCATAACTATCATTGTCGTGTACTAAAACCAACATCCCTACATCCAATTCTCTTGAAATAACTTTCAAAATACCAATAAGATACTACATATTTTCGTTATGATTGCAAAGAAATACCATAATATTCCGTCTCCAGTTTAAAACATAGTTATGTTTTTTTGTTTTATTATTATCATTGTCATGTACTATGACCTACATCATTACATCCAAGTCTTTTAAATAACACGGCAAGCACCATGCATGATGCCAAATACCATCAAAAAGAGTCGAGCATGGACTCTGGCAATTCCTAAGTTTGCCACTATGCTTTGCTGGCACTCGATACACTGACAAAGACTGGCCATTTTTTCAATTTTTATATAGTAGATAGATAAACATAATAATAATAATGAATTTCTATTACAAATAAAAATAACAATATGCTGAATTATACTGTAACAATATAAAATATATATATTATAATTTTTATATTGTTAATTTAAATCAGGGGTGGCCAACCTTTTGCATACCATGCGCCAATTTTTTGATAGACGAGTTCACATGCGCAGTGGCGTACCGTGAGTGTTAGCAGCCCGGGGTGGAGAAAAATTTCGGCCACCCCTTATTTAGGTATTTCAATTTATAAGACAAAAATTCAGATTTGCCACAGAACAAGCAATGAAAAATGTGGTTGTAGTGTAGCTACCTGTATAAAATAGTTCTATATGACATTAGTGGTGTACATGAACACGAATGCATCGTGTAACGTACAAGCAAAAAGAAAAAAAAAAAAGGTCAACAGGTCGATTGCACCAAATTGTGTAAGAAATTGTAAAAAATTAATTTCCTATGTAATAGTCATAATTGCAATGAAGCCAAATCTGGCAATGTTGCTCGGAACCGACTGAAGCGCCACTTGTAGTCATCCAATGCGCCAAGTTTGGTGCATGGGCCACGTTTTGGCCACCCCTGATTTAAATAATAGTTAGGGGTATCCCTAATGGCTGTTTTTGGCACACCATGACAGAGATTGTCCAGTTTTCCAGTTTTATATAGTAAATAAGTTTCTGTTAATAATAGAAATACAAGCAACTGTGGCAATTGAGATAACTGAAAGAGAAAGTTTATTGAAAAAGAAATGTTTTGGTTTAAATTTAGCTATCTTCAGTTTTGAATTTAATAATTAATACAGTTACATTTCAAATTTTAATTTTTTTCTATAAAATTATTTTGCATTTAATTGAAACTTGAAGATGGCCAGAATTGAAATCTGAAGATCTAAATATAAGTCAAAAAACTTTTTTTTTTTTTTTTTTTTCAGTAAGCTTTTCCATTTGGTTGTCCTTAATTACCAGACTGCTTACATTTTTACATACTGTATTTCTATGAAAATAAGAGCATATTTTTTGCAACGGGTATCAGATTTTTCAACTGGAATATTTTTCTATGCTCTTATATATGAAAACTGTTTATTTTTGCAATTTTGAAACATTCATCTTGCTTTTGCATATAAGAGCTTACCTTCTATATAAGAGCATATTCTTATGTGCACAAACTTGTTTTGGCTTATACAAGTACTACATCACTGTATTTAATATTCATTTTCAATGAAGTTAGTTGTGTTCATTTATTTATTAACATACTTTTTTGGGAAAAGAATTATGCATTTTATTTATCATCAATGCAGATTGGAGATACTTTTGCCTTTATTAAATAAAGCTTATTCAGATTACTAGACTATTAAAAGAATAATTTTGTCAAAAGCAAACATAGAACATTCGATATTTTAATATTTCCAAAAATAAGTATTGAGCTAATTTGCCAGATTTTGAATATGTATCACTTCATTGGTGTAGCTAAGCAACAAAGCATACAAAGTATGGGATTATGACCAGAGTTATCATGAACTTTTGCAGGACCTGATTCCAAAATTTTGAGGGGCAAAAAAATGCATTTATATGTACTTCTGAATTTTTCAATAAATTATTTTTTATAAATGCAAAGTGCAAGCACATACCTACATACAACTTAGAAGAGACTATTGTACAAAGTTTTTTTAGTTCTTTTAGTTTAGTTTGCTAACTATATATTTTGCAATTGAATTGGCTGCACACTTATAATACTAAGTGTAGAGCACTATGACATTTATAATGAGCTTCTCATGGATCACTGGACTAAGTTGCAGGGAATGTACTAAGTCCACATATCACCAGTTCTGATTATATCTATAACAGTATTAAATTATAATTGAAGGAAACAATAATGGTCTTGGTTTTTTGTTAATTTTGAAGATTTTATAATTATTCTATAGTGAAAATTAAGAATCATTAAATTATTTATTATTGAAGTTATATTTTTACAAATAATATAAATTGTTTTATATTTTATGTTAAGTTAATAATATAATAGTTAACAAACATAAAACAAGGTTTTAATTATTTGACACTTCAACTAATAATGGATTTTTCTTATCAACAATCATTTAAAATGCATCTTCTAATCCTATTTAGTTTCATTCAGAATTGTCTTATATGTTCGTGTTAAAGATGAATGAATCTGCAACAATGTCTTTAGTAAAAGTCCAAAATTTCCAAAACTTTTACTTTTTCAACTTGCTTGACAAATGAAACTCACATGGATTGGTCAGCAGCATTTATACTCTCTTGAGATAAACTTTTTACATCATCCAACTTCAAAGTTTTACTGTGATAATCTTTGACCAACCTGACTCTAGGTTAACTCAATTTGGTTAAGTTTTATATGACATGGTGATAGATGTAATACAATGTAGCTTGCTGCTATAGTCATGTCATCAATAAAATAATTGAAATACTTCAGCTTCTCTATTTTCACTATCTTCAACAGTTTCAGTTTCAGTTGTTCTTGCTACCATATATTTTTAATCAGTTAACCAGTCATGGATTTTGTTTTTTTCACCATGAATTTGTGGGCAACTTTTGAGAACAAACACTTTCATACTTTGTAGTATTCATAACCAGAGGCATATCAAGAGAAGTGCTTATGGTATGTATCACTTTCTTGATACCAAAGCAATCAGTTTTGTTACTTTAAAATAAAAACAAGTAAAATGGCAAAACCATATTTGGGACAAGACTATGTCTCAGAGATTCATTGCTAAGTGGAATCACTTTGACGCTCAAGGCGGGTCTCGTTCTCCAATCTTCTTTGGTATCGCTGCTTTTGGATCATTCAAACTTTTCCGGCCACAACCACAAGGTCATCCACGATGCATTTTTTATGAAATTAACCTATCCAATTTCGAAATTTCTCTCTGTTGCGTGTCAGCCTGGGCTGAATTTTTGTTGATGCGTAATGAAAATTTTGCGTTTTTGAAAAAAATAATTTTGGCTATTGTATCATCCAAAATTATTTTTATTTTGCACAAACAATATATAGTTTAACCCAATTATAACGTCATCGGATGTAACGACAATCCTAATATAATGTCAAATTTTTATCAGCCCCACGATTTTACTGTACTAGATAATGTTAAAAAAACCTACTTGTAACAACATAAAACCCTGTTTTAATGTCATATTTGAAGCACTCCCAAATTTACAAAATTATATTACAAATTTTATTTAACAAAGAAAATACTGTGTTCAGTCCTAGGGTCAGAATCCACTTCCTAGAACAACTATGGGTAGTACTCTCACAAACTGACTTCCCCACGGAAGTCAGTTGGTGAAAGTACTTTCCTGACTTTCCGTTTGCCACACCTTTAANTCCCAAATTTACAAAATTATATTACAAATTTTATTTAACAAAGAAAATACTGTGTTCAGTCCTAGGGTCAGAATCCACTTCCTAGAACAACTATGGGTAGTAC